ACTTTCAAGAAGTGATTTCCTAAATTTTGTATTGCCAAAGTTGCAGTTATGCAAACAAAAAACTGTTGTTAAAACTACTTAGTATCTTTGATACATTACTTGTAGATTTAAATAAGATATTACTGTTAAATATTAATAAATAAACATACAAGTCGAAAGCCACAAATGTCAGAAGTATTAGTCAAATTAGTTCTCAAGCTGCTGGGTGAGTTCAGCTCAACAGATAATTGGCTGTCATATTTGTTGGCAACACACAAAGCCTCAACATACACAATAATTGCTAATGATTCTAAAGAGTTGACAAACAATTCACACACACACTCGCACACACACACACTCACTCGCACACACACACTATCAGAGACATAGATTATGGCAATGGCAATCCGATTAATATTAAGCAGCAACAACAACAAAAACAACTCGCATAGAAAAGCAAATTGACATCAATGAGACTGAGGCAAACAGCAGCTTAAAGGCATTTGCCACGGAAATGCGGTAAGAATGGGTGAGGGGGCGTGGCACGTGCTTTGTGACTTGTGGGGAAAAGGGTATTTATATTCTTACCGTTGTATCTATTGTTGTTGCTGTTGTTGCTATTGTTATTGTTGATGCTTATATTGTTCATCTGATTGAAGTCAGCGACAATGAGCCCTGAGTCGTTTTGGTGTGTGTGTGTGTGTTGCAAGGAATTAAAGCCCCGTCAAGTGGATTTTACATGTTTGTCTTTGACTCGGATACTCAGATACTAAGTACACAGCAACAACTACACCAACATAATATAAATTTGCCCTTACAATTGCAGATAGCGCGCATAAATTATGCTAAATTGCGATTAAATCATGTTGCTGCTTGTTGGTTGGACACAAATTCACTGAACAAATAACTGACTGGCCAAGTGACAGATTGCCACACGAAATGCGAGGCATCCAAATACTTATTGACAAAGTCTTGGCAGTCAACAGACTTTGGCTCATTAGCCTCTGCCTCAGCCTCAGCCTCACCCTCAATCCCGAACACCCCCCACAACCAAAATGTGTGTGTGTCAAAAGTTGGCATTTGCAGTAATTAAATTTAAATTGGATTTAGCAGTCAAGTAATTCACACAGCCACAAATAAAGACTAAGCAATTCCCTGGAGCCAGCTCTAAAATGTGGAATATAATCGATAAACTGGTTTATCTATAACTTTTGGCTTCTTAGTCGAAAGCAAATATTTGTTAACAAAACAAATAAGTCACTCAACGATTGTATCTGGCATAAATACCCCATGAGTTAATATGCTCGGCAAGGGTATGCAAACAGGACGAAAGAGCGACAAACTTTTTTAATCCTTTGCTCATTTGTTCTTTGGTTGTGCATGAGGCAAGAAAGGTCGCTTGTGAAGGTTGGGGTTGCCATTGCGGAGGCGGGGCTGATGGTGCCACTTGCGTAAGGGACGCAGCCCCTTCAGGGATGCGTCTGTGCGCATTTCCGTATTATTAAAACTTTAAACGAAAAACTTTTTTTGCATAGTGGGATTTTAATAATACGAAATATGTTGAGGAGTTTTGTGCTGTTCGCACGCAAAATAAACTGATTTATACACAAAAATTCTGGCTAAATGAAGCTTGACTGTAACAAATAATGAACTCAATTTTAGTAGTTGGTTGTAAGTCATTAAAAAGATTAACAAGCTTTGTGAGAGTAAAAATAAATAAATAAATAAATGCTTTTAATTAAGACCTTCTTCAAATTGTTTTCGCAGAGGAAAGCCAGCCAGCTGTTCAATGGGTATGCCATAGTCGGCTACACTCTTACTTTTTTTTATGTTATGCAGCCACTTCATTTCAAATCACATGCTTATTACAATTGAAGCCATAGAATGGCCCAAAGAAACTTTCGAGTAGTTGCGGAAAATGCCATTTCACTATTTAATTTCAAGCCTGTCAAGCAGATCGGCAGCGACTGCTCACACTTCACACTAGCCATGCACATCTGCCTCACTCTTTGTCCCCCCCTTGAGAGACTAGTGTCCATATCCATAGAGACTATTCATGTGAATTGCATCCGCTGCGCTCGATGTCGCTCCAAATGACTCACAATTAACTGCGATCCGCATGAAGAAAAGTGGAGAAGAAATAAAGCAAAAACCAAAACAAAGCCTAACTGGCTCTGGCTTTGGCTGCCACCGAAAGCGAAAGCGGAATTATTATATTGCAACATGCAACCGCAACAACAACAGCAGCAACAACAACAACAAGAAGACTTTGTGGCGGCGTCTCGCAATAATTGCGGGCAAATATTACATGAGAGCGTTGAAGTTGCTTCGTTTGGCTGAAAGCGTCACTGGGGGCTGGACTCACCTAACTGCATATTATTCAGACAGTCGATGACGATAACAATAACAGCAACAACAACAGTCAAAACTGACATCATAATTATCGATTGTGCTGCTGAGTGCCGCGCTGGCTTCAGTAATTATGCCAAAAGCGCGTTTATGATGTGTGTCTGTGTGGAGAAAGAAAAACAGCGATATTGATTGAAATGAACAAGTTGAGGAAAAGGCACCCGGGAAATCGATCAGCGTGAATTGCAAATAACTAAACCACTTTTAGATACCCTAACAGGCCGCAAGCTATGCAAATTAATGTTGTCTGCAAAATAAATAATAAAATAATATACCAAAAAACAAATAATTGTTAGCATGATTTGAAAGCATATCCCAAAAGTACACGTTGAATTATTATCATTAACCATTTCAATTTGTGCGCGCAAAATTGCACAAGACGTGCCTCAGCCAACACACCCAGTTAGTGTGTAAAAACTGTTTGTTTGCGTCGATGGAAAAGAAAATAGCAACAAATTGTTGTTTGGATTTTTGCTTATTTAGAGCGATTCGCGTAGACATGTTTGCGGCGTGTTATGAAATGCTACGTGGTAGCATAATTACAACAGCTACAGCTACAACAACAACAATAATAACAACAACAACCGCAACTAAACCTGAGTGCAACAGCAACGTTGAGTGTTGAAAAAGGTATTTGCGCCGTTTCCATTTGTAATACAACAACAAAAAAGAAACCATTGCATTCAGACATATTTTTGATAGTACTATCAAACCATTATTTTAGACAGATAATATTATATAAAATGAAAAATTGTATAAACTTAAAATTAGACAATTGATCTTGATTTGAAAAATGGTAGGATACATCGAGAACAAGCAACTTTCTCGGTCAGTTGAAGTTTAATTGCGATTTTGACAGAGACCGCTGTGACAGCTGTTCATTATATGTCTTGCAATTTGCCTTACCAGTTGCGTTTAACAAGTCGATGTCCTCAATTTCAGTCTGCACTACCCCTTCCTCATCATGGCTACCTCTCAGCATTAGCAGCTTCTGCCAGAGGATACGGGTTGAGTGGACGGCCACAGCAGCGACTGTTAGCCATGTTTTGGATGGGGTTGTAAGATCAGCTACCCCATTATTGGATGGTTCGTGACTTCGCTCGACAAGTTGGTCTTCATCGAGCATATTTAAAAATGACAGAAAAATAGAAAAATAGTTTTGAAATTTGCCGATAATTTTAGAAAGATCAGCATCAAATATAAACTGTAATCTTAAAATCAAATGTTGTCTTTAAATCGAGCTTTTGTCGTCCACAGACGCAACCTAAGCTGCCGAATTTTAAGGGGATTATAATATTTTCAAGTCCATATGTCTCATAAAAAGGATAATTTACTTGACGCATAATCAATGTATCTTTATGTATTATAAGCTATTAACATAGTTTACATCGGTTTATTAAATCTAACATATGCCATACATCCGGTAAGGTTATGAGATATATATGAGCTTCGGCATTCGACTTGGCTACAAATCAATAAAGCGCGATGAAAAACCATTATAAATGGCTAATTGACAGTTGCATTTATTGGCTTTATTACCCGCTTCATGTGCAAACACGCAAAGGGGACTAGTGGGGGGAGGGGTGCATACCGGTATACTTTCGTATACCGGGCATATTCGTGCAATGATTTCATATGCTTCAGTTGCCGTTAAATGCGGGCATTTTGGTGCTTTTGTCACAGCTCTGACATAATGACATAATGCTGTGCGTTTGAGAATTTGATTGATGGTGCTCCGACTGTAGCCGGCTTGAGTTTGACATTTGAGTTGAGAGCTAAAATTGATGGTGTTGTCAGCCGGTTGCCAAATGAGTTGCGAATCAATAAGACATGTGCAGTCTGCACAACTATGTATAATAAATACAATATGTTGTGTATCTATTTTTGGGCCGGACAATGTTTAACACAGATTATTGTTTACATACGTGCAACAAAGTCCAACCAACCAGATCGCAAACACTTAACGTTTATTTGTCTTCTCATCAGCGTTATGTTACCATCTTGTTTCCAACTAGCAACTGGTGCTGTCACACGATTTTCCATGTTGACTCTGTCCTCCAGTTGTCAGCTTTGGACCATATCGTCACTCATCTTCTTCTTTTGCATCATTCACGAATTGCATTTTGCGTTGATCGTTTGCTTTTCGCCTTAGCGGCATTTGCGGTGTAAACAATATTTTTGCCAAGTAAACAAATTAAACACAGTTTGTGTCAAAACAAATAAAACGAAACGAAAAACAACAAAATGTTTGTCTTTTTGCCTTACCGAAAACTTAATACCCTAGCTAAAATTGAGAAAATAAAGAAACCAAAAATGAAGAATTAAAATTGTACAATTATTTCTTGAATTGAATTCAACCTATTTCTTCAATAAGTTACACATTTCATGACATGGAAGCAAAACTCTCCGTAAGTGTATAAAAATGTTTTGACTTTAGTTGTTGCAACATGCCACATAGTGAGTGCTTGTTTGTGGCGTCAATTTGAATGTGACGCCAGCTTAGTTTGGAGAATGCAGCGGAGGTTTATTTAAGCCATTTACTATTACATATTGTCGTGCCTTGGTCTAGCCAAGAAACTATATGATTAGGCATAGATTTGACCAGACGAAAATTCAAATTTGAACGCCATTTATTAGTTTAGCACCTTACTCGTCAGGTACCGCAAGCAACAAACAATTCAACAATCTAACAGCAGCAAAATACATTGTTTTTATGCGATTTGATTCATCTCAAGAAGGTTGAGCGTTCGAATTAACTTGCGATCCCCCTAAAATCGCAAGTATTCCAACGCATCAGTTGTTGCCTTCCAATTCTTCAAGAACCACAAGTTTGCCTGTGTGTATGTGTGTGTGGTGTGTGTGTGTGTGTCCCCGTCCTGAACATGTTACAGCTATAATGAATGAATGCCTGTGATTTGTTTTTGAAGTGATCCCGACTCGTCTAGTTGATATTCCTCGCAGTGCGTTATGGAAATGTTTTTGTCCGTTTTTGTCCCTCCCTCCTCGGGCTCCGCAGTATCTTTGAGTAACTTCGATTTTGTAGCCATTTTCCGCAGCTCAACCCACAAGGCATAGGTCGAGAAGGCGATCACAGCTCCTGCAGTCAACCAAACATTGCTGCCGACCATAAATGCGCCCGCGGTGGTTGTCCCTGCTGGTGCTGGAGCTGGAGCAGGTGCTGGTTCGGCAGCTGCATCGTCACCCATTCTTCTAAGAACTAAAGTGGAACGTAGAAATAAGAAAATGTTTACAAAATCGAAATAATATAATATTTTGTTTACTTGAAAATGGATTTACAAAATTTTTACAAATTTTTGTTTATATTTTCAGTTTACTTACTTTATTTTATGTATATCTGAGTAATGAACGAAAGATTTATGTGTTTTGACGAGCTAGCACAAGAGATTCAAAAAATTATAAATATTTTGTATTTATAGTTCCAATAAATTTTGTGTCTCAAATTGGTTGAACGTTTTTTGTGTTATTTTCAGAGCCGTGTGCTGAATGAGAATGAACACAAACCCGAAATCAAACCAAAGGTCTGACAAATTTTCACACCCGCCTGCTGATCAGGGCAGAATTACACAATTTCTGAAACAGAGTGTTTGCATTTATTTAAAGCTGTCAAATTTAATATGAACAAATAATCAATATTCACATGAGCCACTTTCAAATTAGATAACCCGCTGAATACAATGAAGTTGAGCAAATGGATGTATAAACTTCCTTCTGCATGAAACATACATTTGCATAACTTCACTATGCTCTGCTGTTTATTTATATATATATACAAATATATATATAATTATATATCAATCCGTGTTTGTCACACATAAATCGGTCGCAGACGAGTCTTATTCCATAAACGTTTTTATCTTTTCAGCGTTCCCAGCAACCATTAGTTTCTCAGCAAATTAACAATAAATACAAACAAATTAAATTACAGCTTAGAGCAGAAGCATTTTATTGTATTTATCAGCTCACTTGACAGGTTCCGCAAACAACAAACAGTATAACTTTGCAACATCGTATTGTGTGTGTGTGTGTGTTTTTTTTAGTGTATGTATATATCTTATATGATCCTTGAGTGGATGAGAATGAGGATTTCAAATGCACTTGCGATCCCCCTAAAATCGCAGGCATCGAAACGCCTCAAAAGTGTCTCAGTGTGTGTTCAGTAACCAGATGATTTGTGCGTGTCCTTTTAGTGTCCTCGTCCTTGTTCTTCGGCAAATGCAGATTAAATACCGGCGACTTCCGACTGAGGAGGTCCCGGTTCGTCAGTTAGGTAATAATTATGGTCCGGTTTAGTTCCCTCCTTTGGCTTTGCATCAACCTTTGCAGTCCTTGCCGACTTTATCTTTTTTTTAGCCATTTTGCGCAGCTCGACCCACAAGGCATAGGTCGAGTAGGCGATCACAGCTCCTGCAGCGAGCCAAACATTGTTTCCGGGTATATCGGCACCTGCAGTGGTTGTCTTTGGTGCTGCTGGAGCCGGAGCAGGTGCTGGTTCGGCAGCTGCATCGTCACCCATTGTTAAGAGCTACAGCGAAACGTGGAAAAATAATAAATAATTTGTTCATATATTTCAAAGTAACAACTTACATATAAATATTAAATTTCTGATTTTTTTTTTATACTGTTAAAATGTAGTTGTTTGCTGTGCGAGCTCCAAACGACGAACAATATAATTTTTCACAACGCGTCGAGAGTCTGAATTTGAATTTCCCAGCTTGCTGTGCTTAATGTGAAAACTGCTCTCGATAATATGTACATAAGTAATGTATTTAAGAATCAGTTGCTAACGATTAAAACTAATAGAGAGTCCAGACTTATGTAAAATTTGCACAAATTAAATAATGAAATATGCAATAATAACTAGAAGAAGTGTCTGGCCCCAATTAGAATCGAGAATTGCCTTAAGCTGCAAATGCATTGCACAGTTGCGCTTCCATTTGACATCTGATCCATGGAAATGTGTCTGGGTTGATTTATATTTCACAAGTTTATGAATTTTGTAACAAGTTGTCGCATTTGAATGCACGACTTCACTTTGGCTGGGAGTTACGCATCCTCTGAGCAACCAGGCGACAAATGACGCAAGGCAAACAAATGCAATTTACATTTGAATTTCCACACTAGCTATCCTCGCTCCGTCTCACTCTCTCCCTCCTCTCTCTCTCTCTCTGTGTCTCTCTTTTTTTGTCTGTTCATCTCGCTCTAGGATGGTGTTAATTTCATGTGCATACATATGCAATCCACACGCCGCACTCAGCTGCCAGTTGTACTCCGCCACCCACAAATAAGAAGCTGCCACTGTTCCTTCTGCTGTCCCTGGGATTTGTCGGCTAACGGATTTGCATATGACCACAAAATGAAGGAGGGTGGAGGTCGAGGGATTGTTCCCTAGAAAGTGTTTTCTGTTTGGGCCAGTTGTTGCCAGCTTTCGGATTTGTAAAACCAACACACACCTGTTGCTTTCCAGTTGCAGCAAGCTGGAGTTTAAGCTTCAAGTTGGATTTCTAGAATATTGTATTCTAGTAAAGAAGAAAATACAATTTTATTCGACATTTGTTTTGATTTCATATTTTATGGATCTCTTGTCAGTTATACACATATTTCTACAAATATAAAACATTTTCAACTGCGAATATTTATTCACTTAACTGTGCCATATCATTTGCTGCAGTAAAAGCCAAGAATTTGGTCTACTCGGAGTTGGGGTTTTTCATATAATATGGCATCGATATAACGCAGCCACTTTTTGATCATTTCTCTGCCTACGATTTGAGGCAACAAAGGGCAAATGCAATTCTGGCAGATTTTATGCTGTAAAATTGCATTGTTTTAATGCAATTGCAATTGTGCGCTGCAAAACTTTTGAGGCGTTTGTACTTTGGGCATGGTCAGTGGGCGTAAACTCTTCTTTTTCTTTTTTTTTTTTTGTTGCGCCTCGAAACAAGCGAGAGACTTACGCTTTCCTCGTCTCTGCCCACTTTCATTGTGCAATTGGAAACTTTGTGTAACAATAAAATTTTGGTGCCAGGCCCCGAAAAAAGAGCGCGACGAACAATGAGCTGAAAGCAGACAAAACCAGCAAGCAAAAACAAAAGGCAGCTTTGCACTCACTATAGCCTACTTATGGGCGCTATAAAATAAGGGTAGTCGAAGCAACCAGGAAGGCACTGGTGGGTTAGCGGCGGGGAACTAGCTGGAAACAGCCGCATTTAACTCTCGGCATCCGTGGCGACTTCCGGCGTGGTAAATTATGCTGTATGCCACTTTTTGTTGCTGTTGTTGTGTGCTGTTCTTGCCTACCCTGTGCGGTGGCATTTGCAATGGGTATATGTGATCATAATCTATGATAATTTGTGAAATAAACGCGTTAAAAGCGTTTCAGTATTGTTAAGCAAGAGAAATTAAGAATTTTACAGTCGAGTATGGTCTGCAAAGGCTGGCTTTGGCCATAATATTCTGTCTCTTATTGCAATCGTCTATCGATATATATCGATATTCGCAAAACGGGTGATATTATCAATCTAATAAGCTGATCTGCGCGTGTGAAACGAGAGCTTCTATTCCAAATTAGAAAAGTTTCGAGCCTTATAGTCTCTGAAGAAGTCTACAGAAGATGTGCTGGTCATGGGCTATATCGAGTCAGCTGTTGATTCTGATCATGATTATTATGGAGATAAGAGATGACAATGTTCTCTTAAGTATTTCTACAGAGTATAGTTGGGTCTCTTCGGGCCACAGTTTGCTGCTGTAATTTTGTTTTCACTTTTTTGCGTTCATAATTGTTTTTGTTTGTGGCTTTTGCTACTGTTGCAGCGACTAAAAGCAACAACAACAACATGGAATTGCAATGAGCAAAAGGCAGCAACTGCAGGCATCATGCAAATAATTTATGCATTTTGGCCAACGTGCGTTTAATTTATTGAGCTGCCGCTGCTGCACTCTATGTGTGAGTTTAATTAGCAGGCAGCCAATAAACTTGCAACCGGCTGCCTTAAAGCCAAACTCAAAAGTATGATGATGGATTTGTGGCATGTCCGTTGGCAACAGGCTGCTACCTATTGATGTAATATTTTCTTTTTGCTTTATGCAGCATGCCGCATTGACATGCCATATATTTTGTCATATTTACATATATATTTCAAACTGCCCACAAGTGCAGCAAATGGTGAGTCCAGAGGAACAGCTGGAATTCCACAGCACTAGTTTACCATTATGAATTTACAGGCTGAAAGGTGGGGGAGGCATTGGGTGCATCGATCAAAATGTGTGTCTGACCCAGCTCAAGGCTTGATGACCCTGTGTGTGTTTGCTGGCGTTTGACTTGACGAACATTGCACATCAAACAGCAACAGCAAAATGCACTCAAACTGCTGGCCATGACTTGCAATTGGCAACGTCTATCAAATCCAATGGCAATTGTTGAAGAGGGTCAGGATTGAGCTGAACCGAATTAAAAAGCTTTTAGCTTGTTAATTTCAGCGTACTCAAATGGAATGTGTGTGTTGCATTAAGAATGTTGCAACAACAATGTGCAATCCATGCAAGAAACAATATTTCAAACTTAAATACTTTAATTTTGAGCTGCAGGAAATTTTAGATTGCCCCAAACCGGCTACTTACCAATAAGTCGGCAACAGTAAGAGCATTATTAAGTGAAAACTATTTGGATCGATTTTAGACTAACTCAGGATGCAGGCGGCAGGCTAATGCTTGCCACAATATGTATGAGGAGCGTGCATTGAAATGTTTGCTTTTGATGGCTAGAGAATCGCTTTATACATATATACATGTATAGTTGGCATACTCTGGTTAACTGACAGCCATCATATTAGCTGAAATTTTGCCTTCTGTCCAATATTTACATTGTCATTGGATGACTCAGGCACACGTGTGCCTCATTAGCCAACAAACAGTCACAGTCAGAGTCAGAGTCACCGTCACCGTCACCTCAACTGCCTTTGGCAGTCAGATATTCATTCGATTTATGGCCAATCAACTTTATCCATTGCCCAAATGGCATCTAAGTGATCAACTTTGGCCGACTCGCATTCGGGCCATCAAGTTATACTTTTCTGGGGTGACAACAACACGGAAAACCACACCACACCAGACCACTGTTGACACGCAGTTTAAGGCCTCCTCAATGCTTTTGCAGATGTCTCCGCGTTGTCTCCGCTTCTTTTGCCTTGAAAGCGCCATAAATCTTTTTATGATTTTTGCTTAGCGCCAAATGACTTTGTTCTCTGCCTTTGACTCTGACTCTGACTCTGACTGTGACTGTGACGCATACAAATTTCAATGTATGTTCACCAATACACACATACATACACACATACACACACACATACACACATACATACACACATACGTTAGTCATATTTTATTTAGTTAGCTCGCACAAATTTTTAACAAACATTTCGTGGCAGCACGCAACGCCATTTTGGCGACTGCCATGACGAGCATCGCACGCTATACCAACACTCACACACAATCACACACACACACACACTCACACACACA